TTAGATGTGTTGCAAATATTTTCCTATTCTATTACTTGTCCTTTAATTTTTTTATATGTATATTACTGCAGTCTTAAATGTTTAATAAAAAAAAGAAAAAAGGAAAAGAAGAAATCAAAACTATGAACATTAAAATGGCAATAGATTCACAACTACAACAACTGAATATAAAAAAACAAAGCAAACAAGCAGAACAGAAACAAAACCATAGATATGGAGATCATTTGGAGGGTTATCATTTGGGAGGGGGAAGGGGGAGAAAGGGGAAAAGGTGCAGGGATTAAGAAGCATAAATTGGTAGGTACAAAATAGACAGGGGGATGTTAAGAACAGTATAGGAAATGATAAGCCAAAGAACTTATATGCATGGCCCACGGACATGAACTAAGGGAGGGGGTGTTACTAGAGGGAATGGGAGGTACTGGGTGGAGGGGGGCAAAGTGGGAAAAATTAGGGACAACTGTAATAACATAATCAATAAGATATATTTAAAAAATAAAACCACAATAAGACCTCACCTCACACCTGTCAGAATGACTATCATCAATAAATACACAAACAAGTGTTGGCGAGGATGTGGAGAAAAGGGAACCCTCGTGTTCTGGGGGTGAGCATGTAAATTGGTGCAGCCACTATGGAAAACAGTATGGAGGTTCTTCAAAAAATTAAAAATAGAACTACCTTATGACCCAGCAATTCCACTTCTGGATATATCTCCAAAGAAATCCAAAATACTAATTTGAAAAGATATATGCACCCTTATGTTCACTGTAGCATTATTTACAATAGCCAAGATATGAAAGCAACCCAAGTTCCCATCAATAGACAATCGGATAAAGATGTGGCACATGCATCCAATGGAATATTACTTGGCTATAAAAAAGAATGAAATCTTACTATTTGTAACAACATGGATGGACCTAGAGGGTATTAGGCTAAGTGAACTAAGTAGGACAGAAAAGGACAAAGACCATGTGATTTCACTTATATGTGGAATCTAAAGAACAGAATAAATGAGCAAACAAAACAGAAACAGGTTCATAGATACAAAGAACAAACCAAGGGTTGCCCAATTGGAGGGGACTGGCAGGGGCAGGGTGCTCGATAAAAAAGGTGAAGGGATTAAAAAGCACAGGTTGATAGTCACAAAACAAGCCTGGGCTGTAAAGCACAGCACAGGGAATATAGTCAGTAGTACTGTAATAACTGTGTGTGCTGCCAGGTGGGCACTAGAGGTACAGTGGGGAATCACTCTATAAATGATATAATTGTCTAAACACTATGCTGCACACCTAAAACTAATATAAAATAATATTGACTGTCAACTGTAATTGAAAAATAAAATTAAAATGGGCGAAGGGCTTGAACAGACATTTCTCTTAAGAAGATATGAAAATGGTTAATAAGCACATGTAAATATCCTTGACATAATTGTTCATTAAGGAGATGCAAACCAACACCACAATAAACATCACTTCACACCCACTAGGACTGCTGTAATTAAAAAGACAGACAACAGTAGGTATTGGTGAGGATGTGGAGACCCTGGAACCATCTTACACTGCTGGTGGACAGGTAAAATGATAAAGTTACTTTGGAAAACAGCCTAGCATTTCCTCAAAAAGGGTAAAAATAGAGTTACCATACATCCCAGCAGCAACTCCATTTTTAGGTATATATCCAAACACAGTGAAAACATGTTTATACAAATGTTCAAAGTAGCATTGTTAATAATAGCCAGAAAGTAGAAACAACTCAAATGTCTCTCAACTGATGAAGAGATAAACAAAATGTGTTATACTCACACAGTAGGATAGTATTTGACAATACAAATGAATGAAGTACGATGCATATTCAAACACGGTGATCCTGAGAACCATGGCAGTAAGTGAAAGAAGCCGGACATGAAGGAGCACGTATTACCTGATCTCATTTACATGAAATGTCCACAATAAGCAAATCCATATAGACAGAAAGCAGATTAGTATTTCCTGAAAGAGAAATGGGGAGTGACTGCTCATGGGTATGGGTAATTTTTTTTAAGGGTAATTAAACTGTTCTAAAGCTGAGTGTGGCAATGGCTGCACAATTCTGAATATACTAAAAAATGAATTGTACACTTTAAATAAACAAATGGTATGGTATGTGAAATACATCTCAATAAAGTTGTTATTTTAAAAATGCTAGGAGGCAGGTGTTTCAGTTTCTTGTGGCTGCTATAACAAATTCCCACAATTTTAGTGGCTTAAAACAGCAGAAACTTATTCTCTCACAGCTCTGGAAGACAGAAATACAGAAGCTGCATCCTGGACCCAAATCAAAGTGTCAGCAGGGCCACACTCCTTCCAGAGGCTCTGAGGGAGAATTTGCTCCCTGTATCTTCCAGCTTGTGGTGGCTTCTGACACACCTTGGCTTGCGGCTGCATCACCGTAATGTTCAAGGCTGGCATCTTCAGACCTCTCTCTGCTTCATCTCCTCACTGCCTTCTCCTCTGTGTTTCAAATTTCGCTGTGCCTATTTTTTTTTTAAGGACACTTGTTATTATATTTAGGGCCCACCCAGATAATCTAGGGTAATAACCCCTATGTCAAGACCCCTAATTTAATCAAATATGCAAAGACCTTTTTTCCAAATTGGGTAAAATTCACAAGTTCCAGGGATAAAACTTGGTTATCTTTGGGGGCCACTATCAGCTCACCACGGAGAGTATCATGATCCCTATTAGAGACAAGGAAACAGAGCCAGAAGGTGAAGTATCGGCAAGTTTCGGAGTCACACCTGTGTCTCTGCCTCTCTGGCTTTGCCCTGAGGCCTCCAGTAACTGGACTTCTAGGGCACCTCCCTGGGCGGAAGACTCAGCTCCAACCCCTGCTCCAGGCCGGGCCAGTGAGCATCCTCTAGGAGGCCCCATGGGACGAGAAACATCAAAGTCACCCCAGGCAGAGGGAGGCGGCTGATTCCTAGCAGGCATCACATTAAGCACCAGGAAAGACAAAGGCCTGGCCATGCCCTCAGGAATTTGGAGGGGACCTATTGACAGATTATCCAACACAAAGTCAGGCAAGCTGAGGGAAGCTTCTGCTGGCAGTTAAGGAATGAGAGAGGGCCTTCCCCGGGTGTTGCCCTCTAGGTTTCCCTCTCAGTCTAAGGTGGGTAAGGAGATCCACTTCTGGGACAGAGCCTTTATCCATGTTCTTGACGGTTGATTCCATCCTCTGACTTCTTCCTCCCAGCTGTGAATCATCCACAGATTTTATCAGAAGCTCACCAGAGTTCTCATCCAAGTCATTAATAAAAATATTCAGTAGGAGAAACAAAGACAGACACCTATGGCACACTGTAAGAGACGTGCCCCAAGCTGATCTCAATCAAAATCCTTTCGATAGAAATGTTCAGCAAGCTACAAATGTGCTTACTCTACTGTCGTTCACCCCACCCTCTCCATGAGGATGTGAGGATTCCTCATGAGGATAAAACTCAGAAATACTGGCAAACCATACACCCATTAACAATGGCTACTCTTGATACTGTTACAGTGGCAGTAATGAAAATAATAGTAACAATAATAATCAATAGAATATATTTTTTGTCCTTGCTCTCCCTTTTCTGTCCTTTCTATCCAAGATGAAGTAAACTTTACTAAAATAAGAGGAAACCCTAATTTGTTTACAAGAAGTTCATTGAGAAATTACCCTGCCAGGAACAACTCTTGCAGGAGTATGGGGGCCAGGGCGGAGAAGGGAATGGTTGGATGTTAATCTAAAGATCAACAAAATGAACTCTAGATACAAAAAGTGACTTTGGTTTAAAGCACAGGAAGTTTCCAGCTTATCATCAGCTTTTGATTCAGAAGTTTGTTTTTAAACTGGCTGTTGAGCAAATGCTAAGTGCGCTCAGCAACCATCTGGAGAACCCTGATGAGGCCCTCTGGTCGGCCCCTCTCAGAACATTTACTGGCAATGAGTTTGAAATTTACTGTGAGCGGTCGGAGCCCAAAGTCTCTTTAATGTCCCAGGTTGGAACCCCTTTAATCCCAGGGGCAGGTCTGGGCGGTTGCCTTTCCCTGCAGGTGGGACTCAGCAGCTGCGTGTTTGCTGGGATCACTTTCAGTTCAATAGCTACAATTTAAAAGCATTTTTAATAGAGCCTAGATCCCTTTTCCATGGGACTTAACAACGAATAAATGGAATAGTGTTCCCATCCCTCACACGACCCTATCAGTGTCTGGAGACTCCCACCTCCAAGAGTATGAGAACCTCACCTCGTGGCCTAGGAAAAGGTAGCAGCCATTTATCCAACTGGTTTTCCTAAGCCTAAAGCTTTGGGTGTTATCCTTCCCAAAATATTTTAATATTAGAGACTGAGGAAGAGCAGCAGAAAATACAGAAAGTAAGAGATAGGAATGTTGGCTGACAGCAGCTGTTTGAATCGTCCCTCTATGGGTTTGCCCACTTCTGCACACAGATTCTGGAAATTAATAAGAGAAAAATACTTTAAACTACTTAAAACATTACCCACCAGAGTGGTTCTCAGTCCAATGTGTGATTAGCTTTGTCTATGCCCAACTGGCTTTCATGAGACCAGCAGAAGTGTGTGACCTTTCTTATCATAATCAGCTGTCACCTTGATTTGAAAAGGAAATCTGGCAGGAAGCGCTGCAGAGGAAGCAGAGGGCACTTTCTCCTCTGCTCTCAGCCAACCCATCCCTCTATTTTCTTGCTTTGAGAGGAAACAGTGGCTCCTGCCTAAGAGGCTCCTCCTTTCAGCTCTCTGGGCCAACCACATTGGTGCTCTTCCTGGACACCTCCAGGTGATGAAGGTGTTAGGGACGACCATGTCCCTTTCTAGTATCTAGCCTGAATCCCAGATAATGTTCTAAGCTGAAAAAAAAGAAGAAAAAAAAAGGAGGAGGATTGGGGACTAGCTGGTGTGGCCCTGTTGGTTAGAGCATCTTCCCAACACAAAGGTTGCAGGTTCGATTCCCAGTCAGGGCACATACCCGAGTTGTGGGTTCAATCCCTGATTCAGGCATGGGTGTGTGTGACCCATAGTCTGGACACCTATGATCCCCAGTCCAGATTTAGAATTGATGCTTCTTTCTTGCATTGATGTTTCTCTTTTCCTTCCCATTCCTATAAAAGCAATGGAAAACAAAATGTCCTCAGGTGAGAACTAAAAAAGAGAAGGGGGTTGGTTAGGAGGGATAGGGAATTTCAAAATCACAGATCACAGGCACCTTGATATTCATCCTCCACAAAACTCCAACAGATTATTTATTAGGTATGTAAAAACTTATATTGTTTCAAAGAATCCCCTAAAATCTTTGTGTAGTGAGTTACGGCTCATACTGCATCAGAACTTCAATAAAGTCTTTGACGAAAAACATGATGGAGTAGACCCAGACTTCTGTGGTTGAAGTATAGAGAAAGGTAGAGAATGGGGACTCTGGCCCAGGCCTAACAAGGGCTGCTTGTGGAGTCACACCCTTTGGGGATCAGGGCAGGTATTAAGGGCTAGATGAGGCCTGGGTTGTGAAGCAGGGGGGCGAGGAGGAGGGGTGCTCAGCGAGGAGGTGGGATGGGAGCCTAGCGGCCAATAAACGGTACACATTGGAGTGGAACTCTCCCAGGTGCCGGTGGAGAATGCCTGCGTTTACCAAGCCAAAAGCAGAGAGGAGCAGAAACCGACAAGGAGCATTTTTCTTTTTTTTTTAATTCTCTGAATGTTTCTTTTTTAAAAATATCTTATGTATTTATTTATTTTTAGAGAAGGAAAAGGGAGGAGAAAGAGAGGAAGGGAAACATCAAAGTGTGGTTGCCTCTAGCACACCCTTCACTGGGGACCTGGCCTGCAACCCAGGCATGCACCCTGGGCTGGGAATCCAACCAGTGATCCTTTGGTTCGCAGGCCGGCACCCAATCCACTGAGCCACACCAGCCAGGGTGGCAAGGAGCTTCTAACAATAAATCAGGACAAATTAACCTGGTTCCAGTTGTTGTCAGGGTTACTAGATTGTTAAAACAGTAAAATACTACAGATACAGGGTTTTTGGGCTTCAGAAAGACATCTGACCAAGTCTGGCCTGGGATCTTCATGGGGACATGTGTGGTATCTGCCATTTCTGGGACAATTATATCAAAAGAGTTTTGATCAGGGCCAATTCAAAGGAGCTCTCTTGTGGATTTCCACATGGCTCTTTTTCCAGCTCTTGGTTGACATTTTTTTCCTTTCTTTTTCTCTTCTGTGTGTGCATGTGTGTATGTACATGTGGGCGCGCGCGCGTGCGTGCGTGCATGCGTGTGTGTGTGTACCAGGCTTCTTTATTTAAGATCCAAGTGATAAGTAATAGGGAGATTAAAATCAAGAGCATTATCGAACTTCACCTTCCCTCTAGCCAGTTCCCCACATTCCCTGCCCCAGCGCAGCTTGTGCTCCCAATCCTATGGTGAAGGAAGAACTCAATCCCGAAGCCCTGGAACAATGCTCAGGGTTTTTCCCTCGCTCTCCCATTTTCTAGGAAGGGCAGGCACCTCAGTTTGAATGCATGGGAGAGCCCAGAGTGGTGACAGGCACAGAGGGAAAAGCTTCCCCCGCAGGGAAAGGGACAGAGGAGTACAGCCTAGTAGAGTGAGGGCCTGCATAGCCTGGGGTACTCAAATGGGGCCCTGGTGTCAGAGGAAAGGACACCAACCCCCTCCAACCCCAGAAAGAAAGTCCGGAAGCCTCAAAATCCTCTCTGCGAGAACAGTCTCTGCTTGATTGTTTGCCTTCTGGCAAAGGTTACAGAACAACCCATCTTTCTCCAACCTGAGGTGTGCGGGGATGTGGCTGATCTCCTGCAGGGTGGGCTTCCGGTGCTGCAGGAACATGTTCTCATGTGGTTTCTCATTCGGGTCTCTGTACTTGTGCAGGCCCCAGGTTTTGTTCATTTGCTTTCTCTTTTGGGCTTCACAGAGGTCTCTGCTTTGCATATCTCCTCAAGATCCTTGTGGTCGTCAACTTCCTCTCCCTGCTTCCGCAGCAGGGACTGCAGCTTACACGTGTTCTTCAAACCAAGCTGCAGAGCCTCAATGTGGCAGATGGTTGTTGGGCTGAACATCCTCCCAAAAAGAGTTCCAAAGGGAGCCCAGCATGGGCTTGGGTCTACCCCAGGGTGACCCTTTACTGCTTCAGGAGCCTGCCAAACTGCTCAAGGTCTTTCTGCAGAGCTCCCATGTCCTTACTCACCTCTTTCTTGGGGTTTGGCTCTAGCTTCTCCTTGTCTGGCCTCATGGCCACAGGCAGAGCAGTGCAGGGCTTGGGGGAGATCTCCTTGGAGCTGCTCCCCACCCCCGCTCCTGCTCTGCCCTCAGGCTGGGGTGAGGCGGAGCCCCAGACCTCCTTGGGGCACTAGCCCTGCTCCAGCAAGACATCCACTGTAGGACATGCACATGCCACACAACCCCCTTCCCCAGTCCTGGCATAGCTCAAACAGCTGGGGGCACAGGGGAATCCCTGACCTCTCACCCCAGGCCAAGCCCCTGCCCTGTTCCCAACCTGCCAGGAGGGCCCTGGAAGCTCAGTCAGGTCTCAGGGTTAACCCAGCCAGCTCCAACCATCCTGGTGAGGACTAGAAGGCAAAGGCAGAAGTCAGATGACCTGCCACAGAAGGACTGTGCCCAGAGCCGGGGGCCTCATGACTGGAAAGCTCTCCAAAGCACTGCTCAGCACCTCTTTCTCTCCCCATGCCCACCCACTCCTGGTTGACATTTTTAGGAATGGCTCATGCAAGGACTCCTAAAAGCATGCTGACTGAATCCCTAGAGACGCAGCACTGAGAGGCAAAGGGAAGAGGCCAAGTGACAGAATCAGTAGTCAAAAGGAGGTCACCAGGAGGAAGAAATGGGCCAAATGGTGATATATTACAGAAAGTTAAGTTCCTGATCTTAGCTGCTCAAAGCTGACCTTACAAATACAGGATGAGGGAGATGCTACTTAACAGTAGAACCAATGGGAAAGGCAAGAGTTTGAAAGGTGCGTGTTCGCTGTCATAGTTGGCAGCATTAATGGAAATAAAGAGTTCAGAAGAGGGGAAAAGACAGTCCCACCTGTATTTTGCTGTACAGGCTTAGTTCTGGGGACAGAGAGGGTGTGACTCCCCGAAGGATGTGGACCAGTGATGAAAATGCTGAGGTAGGGGCCTTCAGACCACATCTTAAGAGGGGCATTTGAAGGAAGCACAAATGTTAAGATTTTGAGGACTATGTGATAATTATCTTCAACTAATTACATTGTTTTTATGTGAAAGAGGAATTGGACATTGTCCCCCTTATTTTTGGGTAGAAATGACAGGGAGGTATATTTCAGTTCGAACTCTGCAACACAGCAAGTGAGGAAACGTTTTGTGGAGGTTTTTAAAGAGAGCTGACAGAGAGAGATGTTTCCAGAGGAAACATCTGCGCATCTCCTCTGAGCCAATGTTGGCCAGAGGCGAGTTTACATACCAATTCCTGAGGACGCCAGCAGCCACACAGGCCGCTCCTCCCTCATGGGAAAACTGTGGCTACCAAACGTTCTCTTCATCTTACTGATGAAGCTACTGAGGAGGCAAATATTAGTTAAAACCAATACTGGGAGTCAGAGACGTGTTCCTGCTGATTGCGGGGCTTGAAGACAAAAGCAAAAGGAAAAGACAGTTGTCGGCGGTTGTCACGGAGATGGTTAAGGGGACTCGGCTTCTTGTGGGCTGGGGTCACAGTTCTGGCTTGATGCAAAGAAGGGCCACGAAATTGTCTGGGAAGCTCAGGGATGACCTGCCAGGCAGCGTGAAAATGCACCTGTGTCCCCTCTGCGGAATCCCGAGCAGATCCAGCCAACCCATCCAAACAGCAAGCGTGACAGGGACTGAAAAACACCAAGAAGGAAAGCCAAGGCAGCCTAAGTGCTCACAGGAACTTCATCCCCAGGAACTTCATCCCCAGGAACTGAAGGGCAGAAGAATGACAAAAGCCACAAATGAGACACCCAGAACTGAAGAAACAAAGAGCCCATCTGGGAGTGAGGGCAACAGAGTGAGGTGGGGGGGCTGACTTTGGGAGGGATGGCAGGAGCTTGATTTTGAGTGAGACACCAGGTGTGGGAGGTGTGCAGTGCGTTTTTCTCTGGGAAGTGTGATACAATTCTCCCCGCACAGCCCACTTCAATCATGGATCCCTCAGCATTTCCCATGAATTGGCTCATTGGATCCTATGGACCCCATGCTAGTGTTATCCTCGCTGTATAGGAGAGAAACCAGACCTTCAGAGAGGTCAGTGCGCTTGCCAAGGTCCCATGGCTGGTTTAGATGGTTAAGTCCGTTGGAACCCTGGCTGCCTGACTCTAGAACTGAGCCCCTAAGTCTGTGCCCAGTGTCTCTAGAAGAAAAACATCTTTGTATGCTCCACAGTAGGAAAACCTTTGGCTTAGGACAAAGACAGAAGGGGTCAATTTCGGAAAAAAGTTGAAATACACAGAACATAAAGTATTTATTCACCAAGATTATTCTAGGATATAACCCTTTGATTTGTTCTATACAACTGTCTTAATGTTTCCTGTTGTTGTTTTCTTTTACAGCTTCATCACCTGATTAAACAAAATTAAGATAAACAAGGCACAGCCAAATAGAAAAGGCAGACAGGCCGGGGTAGAAGACCACACACAGGAAACAGCACTTCTAGGCAGCCATGACATCCCTGCGATTTAGGACCGAGCCGGGGACCCTGCATAAACATCTCTCACACTGAGGATGTGAGAGCACGTGCAGGTCTCCAAATGGGTCCCTCACAACCCTCGAGGATCTGCTGTCATTAGAGCTGTTTGAAAATGGACCAGTTCCCCAGAGAAGTGAAAAACATGTTCATACAAAAATATCTGGACCCCGAGTGTTGATGGCAGCTTTATTTGTAATTCCAGCTTTCCTGAAAAACTGGAATCGGCCCAGGTGACCTTTCAGTGGGTGAATGGCTCAAGAAATGGTGGGACATGCATGCTATGGAATATTCCTCAGCATTAAAAAAGGAATGAACAATAGATACATGTAACGTCTTGGACAAATCTCCAGGGAAATATGCTGAGACAAGAAAAGAAAAAAGCCAGCCCCCCAAATATGGTTCTATTTACATAATATTTGTGAAATAACCAAATTTTAGACATGGAGAGCAGATAAGAGGTTTCCCGAGGCTGGCGATGAGGACAGAAAAGGAAGTGAAAATGGCTGTAAAAAGACAAAGGAGGGCCACCTGCGGGGCTGCACCTGCGTCTTGACTGGCAGTGGAGAGGGAACCTGCGCAGGTGCTGAAGCTGTACGGAACTCCACACACAGACGGGAGGCGGACGGGTGGAACTGGGGAGGTTAAGCAAGGGCCATGGGTTACAGCGATGTCGGTGTCCCGGTTATCATACATTGCATTGTAGTTTCACCAAATGTTACCACCGGGGGAACCGGGACAAGTGTGCAAGGGATCGCTCTGCATTTCTTACTACAAATCTATGTGAATCTACTATGATCTCGATCAAAATATCCACTTTTAGAAAATGGACCAGGTAGTCCCCTGTCCCTGAAGGAGTCTAGCTCTGGTCGGATGCTCCCTGACGCACGTGTTGTTGGGGGGATTACTGCATCAGGCAGCCCCTACAGCTTTCAACCTCCCAATTCTCCTGAGTTCTTATGGGGAATGAGAGCTTTCGGGTGGTGAGGAGAAAGCTGAGCGTGGCACGAAATCCTCCCTTCCTGCTGGTCCCGTAAGTGCACAGCCTCAGGGAGAACTGCAGTTTCCTCCCTAACGGGGCTCGTCCTCTCATACCAAGTGGAAGAGGTGAGCCCAGCTGCTCTGAGGGTGTTTGGCGAGACTACCTCTGCCACCACTGGCTCTCCCCGAAGGCCGGAGCTCCGGGGGGTCCTAACAAAAATAAAATGTGAATTTCCACACTGCGACTTAGAACCCAGAAGAATCCCAGTGCAACAATGAGAAAGGATGCTCCAAATAAAGGGACATTATAGATGGAAAGCAAACAGGGACATTCTGAGACCTAAGAGAGACACAGGAATGATCCTGGATGTTCAAGGAGGTAAAGAAGGATGTTTCAACATGATTCTAGAGATGTCCTGAAGTGCCCCAGCTCCTAAATGGAATGCTTCCCTCCCACATAATTTCATGGTCAGTCGCTCCAGAAAATTCTTCTTAAACAGACCTCTGGAACAGTGAAATGGGTAAATGAGAGGTGTCCTTAGTCCCCTCTTCCCCCCATCCCTTAGCTCAACTTACAGAGAAGGTCTCTGAGGCTGGCTATGGCTTGCCTGGTCAGCCAGGGAGAGGCCTGGGCGATTCCTTCATTGTCTCTTGGATCCCCGCTCACCATTTGCCCTGCGTCCTCACACCCAGGACCCCGCACAGTACGTGTGATGGCAGGCTCTGGAACTCTGACGCAGGCCCTGGACGCTAAAGGGCAGCCTGGGCGCTGGGGCAACTGTCCCCAGACCTCCAGCTGACAACACCTGGAAGTCCTGTGAATGCGGAAGTGACTGGCAATGACGCAGGTGTGCAGGGTGCCCAGAGCACCAACGCCCCCCGCCCCCAGGCACCTCCACTCCATCTGCGTCTTCCCTCTCCTCCTGTATCCACACAGGCCCTCCACCCACAAGCCTTTCTCTCTAAGAAGAGATTTCTCTTGGGGTCTCCACAGGTGGGTAGGTACCCACAGTAGAAGAGGGCCCTGCCCGCATGGAAGGCTTTGCCCACCCAAAGGGACTTTAAGTTTTCTCCCACCTAACACAACATTACCTGCAACAGCCTGCAAATCCATTTTTAAAACGTAGCTAGGAGAGCCGAGGGAAAGGGAAAAGCAGGGCCCCAGTTCAGCCATTGTTCTCACACCAGCATTGTTCTCAGGCCTCACCGCTTATCCAGAAGACTCCCATGACCCCCAGGGAATCAAATGAGATTGTTTTTCCCAAGCTCGAGCTCTTCAGGTGTGAGCTGCCATTCTGTGACAACGGCAGTGACTGCGGCATTTCTGCAACAGGAAAGAGGAAGGAACTCCTGATCTGTGCAGGATTGGCATCAACAATGTGCGCCCGCAACCACTGAGCAGCCAGAGGAAGGGAGCTCGGTTCCCATAGTGATCAATCACCAGGAAGCCAGCAAGGGAGCCCCAGCAAGAGGACTTTGTCCTCCTCTGGTTCCCTGCAAACATATTCCTAAGCCCAGAGCTGATCAGACGCCTGGCACCCTCCAGAACCACAGGTACAGGAGGAAAGAAGAGGTCTCCACCAGATGGAAATCAACACCGAAAACCTCCTGCCGCCAAGACCGGAAGGCAAAAGGTTTTGGCCCCACTTAAAGGCATACATCAGGCACAGGTGTCCCACATGGGTGGCCATGTGCTGATGTAAAACTTCAGTGTATGCCACCTATGTTATTCTGTTTCATGAACTTACATTATGCCCTCCACCATATTGTGTTATATTATGAGCTCCGTAGCACGAAGACTATTATTAGCCCTTTTATGACAGAAGGGCAGATCTAGTGGGGGAGAGTGATGGGTCAGAAACAATTCATCAAGCCAAGGTGGTTGCCACAAGCCACTCCTGCAGGTCACGGAGCTCTCATTTGAGACTCTGCCTTGCCAACATCAGACTTTTTCCCCTAAGGAAAATTCCAGGGGTTTTTTTTTTAAATGCTCTGAAACATCATCTGTTCCAAGCCTCGTTGGTCACTCTTCATCGCACCGCATTCTCTTGCTTCTCACCTTTTCAAACGCTGTTCCCTCTGCTTGGAACGCTGTCCCCTGATTCTTTGGTCAGTTAACTCCCCAAGGAGATGTCTGGCCCCCGCTTCCCAAGGGCTCAAACACCTAGCTTGCCGGGCTTCCACAGCGCTTACCACACCACGTTGTCAGGTAGCACAGAACTGGCAGTAAGAAGAGGCTCTTTTAGGCCCAGACTAGCTGCGTGACCTTAGGGAACTTCCTTAACCTCTGTGGACCTCTGCTTTCTCATAGGCACGGTGTAGAAAGTGACAGTGTCTGCCTTATAGCATTTGTGAGGATTAGATGTTAACACACATAAAGCACTTAGAAAACACTAGCCCACGGTTAGTGTTCAGTAAACATTAGCTGCTAAAGAATTAGTTTTCTTAGAGCAGGGGCTGTCTTTCATGCACATTCTCAGATCGATGCTCCAGGCCCCAGTGAGTGGTCAGCACTATGTGTCAAATGAACTCCGCATTCATGGAGAGCTTTTTGAAGCTACTGTCTATGCAACTGACACAATGTTAGTCACTTTGACACTTTACTGCATGAAATATTTAGTTATGTCACTCCAAGACTGGGCCCAGGTGGCCAAGGACCAGCATTGTGCCAGCGTAGCACTCAGTGTCCTTGAGTAGTCCCTTCTGATCTCCTGAGAGCACCGCCCCCAACCCCCCGCCCTGCCCTGGCTGGGCCTGGAAAGGGTCTCCACTCTCAGCGCCAGGCCAAGGGGCTCTCAGTCTTACCACAGCTGGGCTACCCAGGCGGTCTACAAACACCAAAGCATCCCAACGTTCTATATCCCGCCAACCCAGACGCCACTCAGATGACAATACACAAACCGCTCCACCTTGGGCAGCCAGTCTCTGCTGTGTTTTTGCTTGAAGAAATGAAACCAAACTGTTCATGTAACTTTGATTTTAAAGTAAGTAATAGCTGAATCATTCCACTTAAAAATACAGCCTTCCTGAACTCTACAGAGACAGAATACAGACTCATGGTTGCCTGGGACTTGAGGAATCAGGGATTGACTGCAAGTGGGCAAAATGAAAGTTCTGAGGGTATAGAAATAGAACCGGATGGGGGCGATCATTGCACAACTCTATATTTATAAAATAGAGAGTTCTCAAATTTAGCAAATAAATACACGACATTCGTTAAATCTGAATTTCAGTTAAGTAACAAGTATTGGGTGGGCCAAAAAGCCTGTTAAGTTTTTTCTGTAAAATAAAAAACACATTTTTCATTTTCACCAATAGTGTTAATGATCTGGATATTTTGAGTATGTCGGCTATCTCCTACTACTGGCTTCTAGTGGGTAGAGGCCAGAGGTGCTGCTAAACATCTTCCAATATATAAGACAGCCCCACAGCAAAGAATTATTTGGCCAAAATGTCAATAGTACCAAGAAATTTAGCAAACCACTTTTGACATGTTTGATCAGTCACAGCACCTTCCCTATATATTACACACATCTTTTTTTGGCATTTCAGTTGCCTTTTTACCTTTCTTGAAATAATAAAGCATAACACACTGAAAATGTTGCATGTTTTTTTCATCTTCAATATTAAAATAGCTGCACAAGAATTCAACAATTTTGATTTTTTTTTAAATGCACGCTGATATGACAACTGTCACAATACAATCTAACAAAATTGTTTTGAATGACGTTAAAGACAACTAAACACTACTAGAGCCGTCATACGGAAAAAATGTAATGGGCTTTTTTGGGCAACCCAATAGTATTTTCAGTGTAAGTATATCTTAGATATTGCATGGGACATACTTATACTAAATAAGTGTTGTTTATCTGAAATTCAAATATAACTGAATTCTAACTAAAAGTAATTGAAGTGTACACTAACAATGGGCAGATTTTTTTAATAAAGATTTTATTTATTTATTTTTAGAGAGGGGAAGGGAGGGAGAAAGAGAGGGAGAGAAACATCAGTATGTGGTTGCCTCTCGGACACCCCCTGCTGGGGACCTGGCCCACAACCCAGGCATACGCCCTGACTGGGAATTGAACCAGCGACCCTTTGGTTTGCAGGCCAGCATTCATTCCACTGAGCCTTACCAGCTATGGCTACAATGGGCAGATTTTATGGTATTAAATTTAGCCCAGTGCCTACAATAGTTTTGTTGATTAAACACAGCGTTTCCTCCCCACTCTCTGCTCCCTCTCTACTCCCTTCCCATTCTCACCCGTGGCAAAACACATCTATAATAACCACCCCACTAGCCCAGGAACCCATAGAAGTAATCTGTAGGAAATCCAAACAGTCACCTTAGCTTTGTTTTCCAAGGTCAGAAACACAGCCTCTGATGGCTGGACACTCCAAACCCTAAAATTACCCTCACTACACCCCCTCACTGGTTGTTGCCAGCAACGCAACCCTCATCAACTAGGCAGACCAAGCCATGCAGAGACTAGACAGGAGCTACGCAAATGAGTATGTATGTCACTTCTGTGCTCTCAAGTAAGTACTAGCTTAAGAAGTGCAAGCCCAGTCAGTACACACCCACCCACCAACATACATACTAATAGCATTAAAAACAGAGGCAAATTTCCCTCTCTCTGCTATGAGAAGATTTTCACCTCCTCCAAGAAAATGAACTTTCCTACATCTGTGGGGTTTGCCCAGAATTTTGCGATCAAGAAGAGAATGTTAGCTACCTTTTTAGAATCAGCGTAGCTGCACTTGTCCATAGTAAATGCAATTGCATCTTGAACAACATGGGTTTGAACTGCAAGGATCCACTTATATGCAGATTTTTTTTCGATAAATACACTTGGCCTTTCGTATCCCTGGGTTTCACATCTGCAGATTCAACCAAATGCAGGATGAAAACAGTATTTTGCATTCCCAATCCTAGATTCCCAACAGAAAATGAAAAATAAAATTTTCTACCCATGGTTGGTTGAATCCCTGGAGGCAAAGTGCCGACTGCAGAGTCCAAAGTTATACGTGGATTTCCTGCTGTGCAGGAGGCAGTGCCCCTAATTCCTGAGTTGTTCACAGGCAAACTATACATACAAAGCCATGTGCTGGTGGGTCTGGCTCTAAGCAATCCAGGTACCAAATTCTGACCAACTGTCAAAATTCTGATGATCTATTCTTTAAATTCACCATCTGAATGATAGGGACTCATCAACTTTCTTCTCTGAGCTCTTCACTTCTGTGGTACCATTTCCACACCAGAGGATTCACAAAAACTGCCCCCAAACAGTGAGTGCTTCAGGGACAGTTTGTGAATCTATAAAGCTAAGAATCCCGTTACTCAGCTCACCAACTCTATAAACGGCGCAATTTGGGCATTTCAAGTAAGGAAGAGAAGTACACCTGAGTAGTCTCAAGATCAACCCAAAGATAAACTCAGACCAACAGTGCCTACTTGGGACTCCTCAGGGTCAATGAAAGATCCCAAGTGGCTACCAATGGATGAGGAGGCTCCTGTTGAATAAAATGCCAGTAATATTAACTGGCGTTTATTGTTGAGTACTCTGTGATTTATGTGCACTATGGTTCAGCCCCATGAGGCCCATAAAACTACAGGAAGTCGCCCACAGCCACTAGAGCTGGTCAGGGACTGACCCCAGGGCCCTTGCTCTTACCACTGAATTCAAGTTCCTCCCACTTTTGGCTGAAGTTATATCAATCTAGCCAGGTTGCCCCTTTGTCTATTAGGAACTTTAATTA